GACGAACACGAACAGGGATGATCATCGAGTGTTCAAACGATGACGTCCAAGTCTTAAGGACGGTCAAAAATGGGGTGTCTACAACAGGTCTTTGCAGGATCGCGCAAAACATTTTTTTTTTTTGAAATCTTTTAAGAAAGCGACAAATCGCTCGCGCTGAAGACAGTGTAGGACCAATCTGGATCAGGCCAAGATCCTTCTCAGTACTCACATTAACAAGCATGATCTCGATCATTAAGGGCTTAGCATGCCTCTCTTTCTCTCAATTGATCAAGTTTTGCAAAACCTGAGGAATTCCTTCCTCTTCGTTTTTATCACAATGTTTCGAAAAAGTTTTGAAAAACTTAGGTCATTACAATGACTTCAAAGGCACCGAAAAGGTAGGCGAAGAGCACTGTCATTCCATTCAAACTTCTGGCACAACTAGCACACGGCAGAAGCAAGCACAAGAGTGTGAAAATCAATGTTGTTCCCTTCAGATCTGTTGGTGTAATTGGCTTCTCGGCCGAAACAGACTCCAAAGAAAGCAAAAAAGACAAACACAAAACAAGTATGTGATGTCTGAGGTAACACCCCCAAAACCACCCGACTCTAACAAAACAGGACTGACTCGATACAACAAGACAGACCCAACTGACTTAGTATGAAAAGACTGACTCAATACAAAATGACAAGACTGACCCAATACCCAAGTCAGAAAGCATAAAAGCTAGCATTCGCAAATTGCTCAAAACAGTGCGTGCCATACGCCACATCCGGAGTAAACTGAGTGCCGCCCGCAGGTGGTTCATCCCTCGATCACATCACATTATCCCCCACAAGTTCACCGATCAAGTGCCAATAGACTTTGCAGGACCTGGTGCAGGGATGACCTTGCTGTCAATCAGATTTTGTATCTCGTGGTGAAGATGGACACAACTGTCGGTGTCATGACCGGTTTGTTGATGGAAGGCACAGTACTTAGCCGGGTCATGCTTTGCAGGGAGAGGATCAGGTAGGGGCCGTTGTTCTAACGGTTTCAGATGTCCTTTCCTGAGTAGGACTCCTAAAGCTTTAGACAAAGGCATAAAGAGTGGGGTGAAAACCC